CTGTAGCCCACGAAAGCTTATGCTCAAATAAATTTGTTAGTCTCTAAGGTGCCACAAGTACTCCTGTTCTTTTTGCGGATACAGACTAACACAGCTGCTACTCTGAAACCTGTATACCTACTAGAGCTGGTTGGGAAATTTCAAAAAGTTTGAATTTCTAATGAAAAACACAAGATTTTTGATGGGGTTTTTTTTTCCACAGATTTTTTTTTCAGTTTTACAACTGTGCCCTATGACCAGTTAATTAGATCATTATTCCCATTTCATTATGGGGAAACTGAGGCAAGAATAGATTTACACTCCAGTTTGGCAAAGCTCTTAGGCAATGCAAAGTCCTATTTAACAATGCACTTATGCATGTCCTTCACTTTAGATACATTTTTAAATCCCATTGAAGTCAATGGGCTTTAATCCTGGGCTTAAAATTAAGATGGGTTTTAAATGCTTTGCTGAATCAAGGCCTAAGTGATTTGCCTAAGATCAGCCAAGGACATGTATAGCAGAGCTGGGAATTGAACTCAACTACCCATACTCGTGCCTTAGCCATCCTCACCCCAAGAATTCCCTCTGTCTTTTCTTGCTTTACTGCAGATAGGTGCTCTTTATTTTTCTGTATTTTATTATTTATTATTTGTATTGCCATAGCACGTAGGAGCCCTAATCACGTTGTATTTGAATTCTGACAATATAGTAAAGTATTATTTTCCTCTGTGAATGATGTGAAAATTGTAAAGAGCCTGTAATTGTGAATCAAGAACTCAACCCTTTGAGTTCTTAAGTGACAACGTGATCAATCCAACTATTTTTCCTGAGTGGAAAAAAAGTATTGTTTTGCTAAACTGACATTGCCTGGGATTTTCCTAACCAACATACATTGAGTCAATAATAAGGAAATGTGCTTTCCTTAATTCTTCAGCTGACACACCTGTCTCCCTGTCTGATGAACCAAAGAGTCAGACATCAAATCTAGAATTTGAAACACAAGGCCATTCGTCATCTTTATCGCCACAATCTCAGAAGGGCAATGAGCTGGAGAGGTAACAAATGTTTCTTACATCTTTTTATTCTATCCACACACAAAAACAATTAAGAGGATGAATAAGTATAAATGTATTTAATGTTGGTTTTGCCTCAACTTCTCTTCTTTGAGGGTACACTCCAATCAAGCCTACACAAATGAAGTCATCTTTTCCCACACGCAGAAGATGACAGAAGATATGGAACCAGGTGAGGTCATCTCAGATGAATACTGTCACAGAAATAATGATCTGAATACAAAATGCTCCATGGAGTTACTCCACATTCTCACTGGTGTAACTGGGATCAGAATCTGAATTTTAACCCAAGTGTTCTAATTACCCAACTATTCTGTCTCTTTAGATGTGGCCTTGGAGTGCCTGGGCTTCTTATGGGAGCTTCATCGTATCTATTTATTTAAATCCAAGACGCTGTCACAGCTTTTAATTTCTGCAGTAGAGCCAATGAACATAAATGATTTGGAAAGCCAGCACAAAAGCAAAAAAGGTATTCTTAGTAGTGCCGAATTTAAAAATTGAGAAGTCTTGTGGTGTTGTCGTCTCGGAGAGGAGAAGATTAATAGGAAATCAAGTTGGTTTTAATCTCCTATAATTAAGGTTTGGTTCTTTCAAGGAGAATGTCCAGTTATCAGTCAATACAGTTTGTTACATGGATCTGTCCTGACTTCTGAGTGCTCCTTAGGGGTTGGACTTCTGGGTTAATTTCTCTACAGGAGAGAAATGAATGGACACAGACTCATGATAGCTTTTCCTAGTCTGTTCTGCATGGCAATAAGAACATGGGACCTAACCCATAGTCCACTGAAGTCAATGGAAACATTGTACAGCTTATGGCCAATATCTCCTTAACCTGATTTTGGAAGGACTACTGCCAAACTGCCAGGAAGACAGCTCAGTTTCCATGTTCTGTTGGCTTCTCTGTTGAGATTGCCAAAGAAGGGTGCCAGTTCTGCTGGGGAGGAAATGTCTCATTCTTTGTGTATTACACCTAAGCATGAATTATTTATTGGCTGCCAAAGTGAGTTGTGTAGCAAAGTATTCTGGAATGTGTACTGTGAATACAATACCACAAGTCTCGTATGAAATCTTCATGTATATCCAAACTTGTTTCTTGGCAGAGGGCAAACACAATAAACAGTCCAACCCGGCTGCTCAGAAAACTAAGGCACTTGGCAAAGAGAAGTCAAAAATGAAAAAGATCACCATTTCATTGGATGTTCAGGACCCAGAAGTCACTAGAATTGGTAATGTAGAGATGGCAAATTGCCTTTTAGATAGTGACTATCACCACAAATGCAAACTGTATATTTCACTGCATCCACGACTTTCCTACATCAAATTAAGTCTTTGTGCTCTATGGGGGACAAAAATAAAACCTAGACAGATTTATTATTTGGACACTTCTGAAATGTGAATATAAAGAAGCATTTGTTATTTTGTTATAATGTTTGTTTTTAGGGAGATTTCTGATGCTGACATTTGGCCCATTGATCAGGACACATATGAGAATGGAACGCAGACACAGGGATAGAATTTAAAGTGGCAGAAAAGACCTTTATCAATTTTAACTTTAATGGGGTAACAGGGAACAGGGATGGGCTAACCTCCCTCCCGCACATGCCAGGCAGTTACTTGGGTCCAGTAGAGTGTTAAATGGCCTAATTTCAATTAACCAAAATTCAAGGTTGGTCCCCTTCAGACTAACTGCTGGGATTCTGCCCACCTCAAAATCCTCTCACCCCTCCTCCCATGAGTGGGAATGAGGATGCACATGAAGGGACCTCAGTATAAGAAGACGTACAGTCACCCATTCTGCCTTGAGGCGAACAGTGTTCATCAACCATATCCTGGCTCTCTCACTCCTGTTTACCTCTGGGAACTGGCCCCTTTGAGCCTCTTACTTACACTGTATACTGGCCACAAGTTGCAACACAACTACAAACTCCATTTATACATACACAACTTCTAAATTCCAGTCCTTACCCCTTATTAACCTAAAACCAGGCCTCTGGGAAGCTGCAAGGAAGGCAAAAAAAACCTCATCTGCACCTTTGCCCATCATACCCTGAGGGGAAAACTCCTGCCCAATCCTAAACCTGGTGATCAGTCAGCCTACATCTTGGAAATGCAGTTCAAACTACACCTCCATTATAGGGCAGAGAGGACAGGGCAGCAACCATAGCAGAATTGCTGCTATATGTCCTGTGGACTTCATATAGAGCAAATGAAGTGTAGGCTAGGAGAGACAACCAACTCTTCACTTCCCACCCTCCATCTAGCCAATATGTGACTGGGAGAGGTGGAGAAATCTCTGTGCCTCCCTTGCTCCACTCCCTGCCCAGGCACAATCTCCATGTGCATTCTGGTTGCGGGGGGGAAGGGAGACTCTGGAGCAGCCCCTTCTCCTCCTCCTTTCAGGACCCCAGGGCTTGTCTATCCCCTGCCAATCAGATCAGACATCCTCCCTGTTGAGCCATGGAGTGGGAGTGGTATTTTATATGCTAGCAGTCAAACTCACCCCTGTGCAGAGGGCCAGCATAAGGACAATCCACCACTTAAATCCCATTTAAGCAGGAGCAGGACATAGGTTTGTACTAGCCCAATGCACAGGAGTTAATTTTATCATAGGGCAGCCTATTCTTATCTTATAGCCTAGATCTCACTTATTTGCAGTCATGTGAGGAAACCATGCAAAACACCCCCCTCAGGAAGGGCAGCCGGATTATGACATTTATTTGCTGAAAAATTCAAAGGACTTTTTTTCAGTATCTTCCTCTAATGGTCTTGACACTGGTGTTTCTGGGACTTTTCACCATTCAGGGGGTGTCTTCTGGGCACTGCCAGATTCTTAGGTTGTGGTTGCAAGCCCAGGGTTAGTCTCTGAGCATTAACTGAACAGAGCATGAAGCTAACAGTAAGGCTTTGTCTACACTAGGACTTTCCCCCACCATGTGGTCTCAGCTAATAATTTACTATCAACGCTGAACAGGAGATGCTCCGTATACTTTGTGCTGCAGCCAACCCATTTTAAGGGAAAGCACAACCTAATGCTGAAGGTTTTTTTGTTTGTTTCTTTGTATATTGCATTGTGAAGCCTTTGCTATAGCACTCAAGAATTTATACAGTACTGAACCAGAGGTGGAAGAGGGTGATGTTTTGGGAGTCCTGGCAGCTGCATCAGTGCTGCAGTTCCCTAGTCTCTTCCAGAAGTAAGTAAACTTTGTGCCACTGTAAGATGCTGGTTGTGTGATGCTGTGTGATTTTTTTTTCTTTACGTCAAGTGGAAGAGGCCTGTGCTTTTGGAACTGAAGGATTAGGGTTCTAGGCATAGTTGCCCTAGATGATTGTGATTTATAGGATCATTGCATCTGCTGCCTGTAGCACATGGGTTATTTGCAACACAACACCTATAATATACACTCTCCCAGCAGCCTTGCTACCAGACTGTTAACATACACAAATGTACACAAATCTGCATCAGAAAGCGGCTGAATCTTGGGAGCAGAAGAGGAATGCTTGGCTAACCCTAAATATTTGGTAATTTTATAAAGAGAAAATAAATGGCCACTTCTTTCTGACATGGCTGGATTAGTACATGGATAGCTGTGATAGATTAAGTGTAGAACAGCTGATCCTATAGCTATTGAGAACTCTTCTGTATACAGTGGCTGGCAGCTCTTTGTCAGGGCAGGTAGTTCACAGCATCTCATTAGCTGTCACATTGTGTTCTGTGTCCTCTTCCTCCTGAAAACCCCAAGAAGCACCAGAGTCTCTGAGGGAGTTCATGACACTCAGCTCAGCTATCTTCCCTTTTGCACTTTGATAAAGAGAGAAAACTCCCCCAAATATATTTAGTGCTCCTCTTCTACCATATTGCTTTAGTTCTCTCATAATCCATTTATTCACCTGTACCTATGTACCTTGCATTTAAAAACCTGTGAGCTTTATTTCTAATATAACTCTTTGCTCCACTAAGGGGGTCAAGTCCTAGACTCTTCTCAATGTGTAGGGAAGAATTTGTAGTGGCTTAACAATAAAATACAGCAAATTAATCCTCTTGCTGTAACTGGAATTGGCACATGTCAGTAGAATCAGAAATGTGCTAGCAGGGGTTCTCACAACACATTTTTTGGCGGCCTCAGAGTGCAGCCACCAACTCTTGCTGGTGGCCGCTCTGGCAGTTTTTCCTAAAATAATTAATTAATTTCAGGAAAAACAAATACATATGCATGTATCCATGTCCAAATCATTGTCATTTAATTATGTAGGGGTTTTTTGCAGACTCAATTATAAAAATAATGTACAGTTGTCTCTAATCTTTACTGGACCTAAACAGAATAAAAACACAAATAATGTGCTTTGCATGTTTTGGGTTTTTTGGTTGATTTTTTTTAAAAAATTTGCTAGCTAGTAAGTCTGCTACTGTGAAAAGTGATATTTGTATATGTGTTAATGTCACTTTTCACAGCAGACTTACTCATCCCCAGCAAGCTGGGGGACAAATTAAACCCCTGGATGGAGCGGTGGATAAGGAGGGCCAGGGGCAATGTGGGACTGGATTGGGGGCTGGAAGAGGTAGCAGGGCTCGGGACGATGTGGAAGGTGAGTCTGGGGCTGGATCCTGGGGTCCTGCTGCACGGCTGGGGGCTGGAGGAGGCAGCGGAGCCTGGAGGTGAGGTGGGGGGAATGAGCCCGGGGCCAGAGCCCAAAGCCCCGTGGCTGGGGGATGAAGCCCGCCGCCGCATGGCCAGAGCCTGCCACCCACCACCCCAGGGCTCAAGCCCAAAGCTCAAGCCTCACCACCCCCAGGAAGGTGGGGAACTCACACTGGCCACCTGCTCTTACAGTGTTTGTGGCTCCAGAAGAGGCAGGGACCAACCCCCGCTGGTGGCCCCAGGGGAGGGGCTACTGCTTCCTGCCACCCCTCACCCCAATCACCACTCAGGAGGCTATGGCCACAAGAAAAGCCCCTGGTGACTGCATACAGCCATGGTGGCCGCCTTTGAGAAATGCTGGGTTAGGGTAACCATTCTGATTAGCAGAGACTGATGGGCATGCACTCTTATGAGTTTATGAATTGCTTTTAAAATAGCAGTATGCAAAACAACAAATTAAAACTCCCAGAAAGGTAAAATCATCTTGTTTATAGCAGGGGAAGCAGCATACAAAGAATAACACAGCAGGGCATTTATGCCAGCAAAAACCAATTTATACCTCTCAACCAGAGAGACTAGGCTTGCAGGCAGCAACAGCTGCGTCAGTCATTCATATGCTCATTGTTCAGAACCCTTGAAATACTTCGTGCTGGAACTGTTCCCTAGCAATAGTCCCCAATAAAGAGCTACACGGATGATATCAGGGTGACAACTGAGTAGGTTCTATTGCATCAGTAAAGCATCAAAACCTTGCCACAGGAATGAGTAGAATAAAAAATTAATAGAAAACATGAAAAATACCGTAACAGTGTTTTTCCCTCTTGGCACTTCATATCCATGACTAACATGAACCCAGTATTCTTGTGTCCAAACATTGGAGACTTCTTGACCAGTGTGAAAGTTTCTTAAATAACAAATGAAAATCCCCTGCCTCTCCTCAGTCTTTTCTATTAGTTGTATCTACCCCCCAAAAGGAAGATGTTCTTTAAGGACCTGATCCAAAGCCCAGTGACATCAGTGGAAAGATTTATTGATTTCAATAGACTCTGCATCAGGCCCTAAATCATGTAACCAATTACTTAGATAAATCTTCAGTTTATTGTAATTCTTATTCTTTGCAACCAATAGTTAGATTAAGAATTTAACCATGTTTGCTTGTCTTTCTTTTTGTGTGTGTAGCTGAAATGGTGTTAGCCATTTTGTAAAACTGTAGTCTAGGCTACCAAGAATGATATATCTGTAGCACAGTTGGGCTACACTGTTCTTATACTTGTCCACACTATTCAGGTTAAACATGCTAGTCCATGTTAGCATTTACACATGGTTGTAGCTAGCATAGAATAGACAGGGCCACAGTTCATTGCTATCATGCATGTATGTTTGCTATTAGTTTCCCTATGGGTTTTACTTAAGATTCAACTTATAATGCTAGTTGAATTACACTAGCACTTCTGAATAGCAGACTATAAAACTGCTGTTTACTGTTGCCAATGAGCCTGCTGGCATAAGGGTGTTTTGCGCTGCTTGTAGCCCACTTTCTACAAACTGTTTATTTTACTTCTCAGTGGCTATATTTTTAGTCTCTTGGCACATGGGCCTTGCATGAGCATCCTTAGGGGGAGAGGATGGAAAAATATGTGGTTGTCACCCACGGGAAGCACAAAACAACACCCTTGATCTGCCAACAGACATGAAGTGAATCATCCATTGGTTTGTTATTTCACTGGAAAATGTTTTTACAATTGAATATTTTTTCTTGAGTTGGCCAAGTGAGACGTTCTTGGCAAAGGGCACTTGACCTCAGGAGCTATGAATAGATAAACTTATTTCTCACAGACAAAAAGGAGATAATTAATACCTCTCTTCTACCTCTATTCACCCTAACATTTGCCCTGAGATGTCTGAGCTAGAGGCAGAATTCTAGAAGTACAACAAAAAGGAGATGATGGACACTAATATTTAAAATAATATATCAAAGTCACTCAACTGATGCCCAATTTTATGAATTGCTGAGCATCCTAAAGTCCCACTGATTTCAGCGTTCAGCAGCATTTAGCTTTGATCCCTTGAGGGGACAAGGCAGACCCACAAATGGCAGTCCGGAAATAGATGCTGAGGGGGTGACTACTTTCTGAAAGCCTTTCTTTTAGGATTATTAATGTAGACCATAACTGCCATAAGTTCTCTAAAGAAATAGAAAGGGGAAGCTTATTGGGAGAAATACTGGAGGCACTTTTATGTTGAGATGAATATTTACAAGTGAAAAACAAGAATCAGTTATTCCTCTGAGAGAAAAATATGCTTACAAGCACACAGGGTATGTCTATACTGCAAGTGAAGGTGTGATTGTAACATGGATAGGCATACTACATGTTAGCCTTGGTATGTACTTAAGTGGCTAGTACATGCTGAGACCCAACCACATGTACATTACTATTGTTTCCCAGGATAGCTAGATTAGAGCTAGCGGGGTATGCCTACCTGTGCTATAATCACACCTTCACTTGCAGTGAAGATGTATCCTCAGAGATGTACGCACACTACCAGTGATGGACTCTCATTGTTGTGTTTGGTTGGACCAATCACAGCCCCTCTCTGTGGGTATGTCTTCACTGCAAGTGAAGGTGTGATTGTAGCATGGATAGGCATACACATGTTAGCTTTAATGTAGCTAGCACAGGTAATAACAGTAATGTACACATGGTGGCATGGGCTTTAGCACAGGCTAGCAACTAGAGTAAAAGTCATTTTAGATCAAAGCTAGCACGGATATGCCTCATAGACTTATAGACTCTAAGGTCACAAGGGACCATCATGATCATCTGGTCTGACCTCTTGCACATTGCAGGCCACAGATCCTCATCCACTCACTCCTGTAATAGACCCATAACCTCTGACTCAGTTACTGAAGTCCTCAAATCATGATTTAAAGACTTCAGGTTACAGAGAATCTGCCATTTACACTAGTATAATATCCGCAGAGACATTCACACACTACCAGTGTTGGATTCTGATTGTTCTGTTTGGTTGGGTCAATTACAGTCCATCACTGGTAGAGTGTGTGTGTGTATGTCACTGCAATTTAATAGATAGGCATAAATGTGCTCGCTTCAGTCTCATGTGGCATGGGCTTCAGCATGTACTAACTGCATTAATACATATCCAGGGGGCTTTTACTCTGATTGCTAGCCAGTGCTGAAGCCCATGCCACCATGTGTCCACTATTATTACCTGTGCTAGCTAGATTAAAACTAAACCTTCACTTGCCGTGAAGACATACTTAGAGACATACACACACTACCAGTGATGAACTCTGATTGCCCAACCAAACAGAACAATTTAGGTTATTAATATACTGCAAATGCATTTTTCTACCTGATATAAATCCCGGTGACACAGAAATCAACTGGAATTTTTAGAGTGATTTCATTGGGATCCGGACTTAGTCTTATGCATGTAAAACTACTTTGTAAAATGGGTACTTATTAAAGCACTTTACATATATTCTATATACTATGTCTCCAACTCAGTCTTTCCAAAATAACTTCTCCCTTTTCCTCCTTAACCCACTGCTCTGCATCCTTCTGTGTAATAACTGATGACTCCACTATCATCATTGTAGCTCAGATCACAACTCTAGTACATCCTTTGACTCTTCCTTTCCCCATGTGCAGTTCCTTAAAATAAAAAATATATGGAGATATACCTATCTCATAGAACTAGAAGGGACCCTGAAAGATCATCGAGTCCAGCCCCCTGCCTTCATTAGCAGGACCAAGTACTGATTTTGCCCCAGATCCCTAAATGGCCCCCTCAAGGATTGAACTCACAACCCTGGGTTTAGTAGGCCAATGCTTAAACCACTGAGCTATCCCTCCCCTTCCTTGCTAAGTTGTGTCACTCCTTCCCCCTCAGTTTCACCAAAATCTCCTCTTCTCTCTGTCCCCGATCTTAAAAACCTTTATTAATGCTTTGCTCACCTCTAGCCTTCACTATTGTAACCTTCTCCTTTCTTCTCTTCCCTCTCCTCATTCCAGTCTATCCAAAATGACAATGCATTCTTGGCCTTGTGCCTTCTATCATGCAGCCCTTCCTGTGCTTGGAACAGTTTCTCGCTTCAGTTCACTAAGCCAATTTTCCCAAGAATCCTTTCTTCCTTCATTTTACAAACGGTCTCTCCTAGCTCGCCTTTCCCTGAACAGTTGTCCATACCATGTCTTGTGTGCAACTTCCTGTCTGTCTTACATTACGAGTTCGGACTTGTTTTGCAAAGAGCTGTTTAAATTTACCATATACATTATTTCTGTTAAGGATGATAGGAAAGTATGATAAACTGATGGGTAAGATGATTAAACCAAGGCACAGAAAGGTTAAGTAAGTCCTCTAATGTTACAGTCCAACTTAGTGGCCCAATCAGGAGTAACTGGAGTGTATTTTTCCTGGTCAGTGCTTTAACCAGTAAACCATACTCTCCTGTTTTTTTAACGCTGTAATATTTTATATTTTGCTTTTAAAACTAGTTATTTCTTTGTGCTAGGTGTGTGTCTATTATGAAGAGTGGAATTTGCTCAGCCAATGTCTGTAGTTATTACTGTGCTGCTTGCAAGGTGAGCTAGAAATGCTATTGAAGTTCACTTGAGTAGCAAGGTTGCTTCAAGTTATACCTCAGACCTCCACAGAAAGTTCAAACGGTCTTAAAGGTTCTAGATTCCTAGTAGTAAATTCTTTCAGGTATGCTGACTTGTTTGTAACACCATATTGGGTATTTATTTACATGTATAATACATTACATCGCTATCAACAGTCTGTGGGAATTATGATATGAAACAGAACACCTAGTTTAGGTTGTTGGATCTAAATGTTAATGTTGAATAGTTCACCAACTAATTAATATTTTAATAGTCCAATGAACAACATGATCTGGGCTATGGAAGTTTTTCCCAAAAGGATGATTTTTCTTTGGCTTTTGAACTTTTAAAACAATTTGAAACAGGACAGATCCTAATAATTATGAGCAATATGGTAAAAAAAAAGTGTAAGATAACATTAATTGAATGCATGGTGATATACAGACGTATAGTTGAAGATTTAACATGTCAGTGAAAAACTGTATTTTATCCCAATCCTTTGGTTAGCTCTGTGTATGAGCTTGAATACTACCAGTTTTGACCACCAGGTGGTACCCAGGGTTTATACATTTCTTTCTATTCTCTCTTTTGGTGTTTCTTAATCAGTACAAACAGGAAACACTGGTAACAGACTGCGAAAGGTGGTTAGAGGTGAACCTTGTTCCTCAGCTTAGTTCTCAGATCCATCTACGGAAACTGCCACAAGAACTGCTACAGAAAGTGCTCAGATCTCCCAGGTCAGACTGATGTGCCGTTCATTGCTTTCTGGCCATGCAAATATTTTTTACTCCCTATGCACACCCCACAATGAATACCTGTCCACAATGAATCAAGTACTCAGTGAACCTTTCTAATAAATATTTACTTTGTTGCCCTAACCTGTAAAGGAAAATACCTATTGAGCATGCAGTTCAAGTTGATAACTAAGACTTCCCTTCAGATTTAAAAGCATTCTTACAGGCTTGCAAATACTGTGTTGTTACACATAATATCTGCTATGTAGTGGTGTTTGTCAGAGAAAAAACTATGATGGCCGTAAAACAGAAAACTTCTGGTGAGGTTAATATTAGTTTCGTTTCAAAACAACATGTGGATTGGCAAAAAGGTTCAGAATATGAACAGTCTGGTGTGCTAAACTCTTTGCTCCTAAGAACTCCTCTGTCTTATGTAGATGGGCATATTTCCCTTGTGTGATGTTTCTCTGGACCAAAATCCCACCTGGTAATTGCTATTATGAAGAGAAGTGAGGAATAACATCTAATGATTTTACAATTAAAAATAAGCAAATAATGCCATAGTCTACTCATCATAGGGGACAAATTAGTATTGGTTTATGTGATAAAGAGCTTTCCATCTCCTGGCATGTATCTGTCCGCAGGATATCTAATGATGGTTTGGTGCTGTATGTATGTGAAATGAGAAGATATCACTCCACTGCTTGGTGTCCCTAGGTTCATGTTATAATGAAAGTGGCATAATGAATCAAAGATTCTCCTTTCCCTGTAACTTGGAACTCTCCTTTCTGTAATAGCTGGATTCCAGATGCATAGTTAGTGCTGTGTATGAAATACAGAATACGTAGCCTTACTCCTCCTACAATACTTATCTGTCTCGCTTTAGCTTCCAAGACCTCTCTCCTGTATTTCCCTACATCTCTGGTGCTAACACACACCACAACTGCAGCTCATTTTCTACACTCTCTTCCAAGTTGTCAGTCCTCCTTATCAGATCTCATACTCTTATGCCCAGTAGGCAAGTTACTTTGTAGTTCTCACGCTATGACTCCTCACAAAGCCAGCTATTTCTTTTTTCCTTCTAATGCTCAAATCATCTGCCACCACACCCTGCCCCTCCCTAATGCACAGGCACTTTATGCATAAAATAGAAACTAATTGCTTTCATGGAGGAAAACATGTCTTAATAATTCAGGAAAGTAACAATTTCCCAATAACTGGAAGGATACAGTTGTGAATAGTATAATGTGATAGGTATTTGATTTTAATAGGCAGGTCTGACTGAGCTGTGCATTGAACTGGAACTCAGGTATTTTGTGCCCACTTGTGCTCTAGGGCGATTTAATTCTAGAATAAAAAGGACAACTCAGAATACTGGGATAAGGAAGGAATTTTTCTCTGTCCCTCCCCCCCGCTGCCCAACAATCACCTTACTCCATGATATAATACTGTCACACAAAGAATGAAATTCACTTTTCTTTCATATGGCCTGAGGAAGTCAGCTTTACAGAGGGGAAGCATGCTAAGGGCAAATTCTGTTTTCTTAGCCTGCGAGAAATGTGTGAGTTTGATAGGCTGGAATAGTGCAACCCTTCTGCGTGATGGCATTATGGCCAGTCAGTCAGCCTGGCCCCATCACCATCTTTCACACTAACAATATGGAACTAGAGGGGAGACCCCCTCCCACTGGTGGACAAGATGTGAAAGATGACTTTAGGCTTAACTGTAATGGACCCATTGCACCAGGCTGAATGTCATCCAACAGTAAGTGAAGTATTTAAGTCTGATGCCTTACCTTGATGCTTCGGGCACTGACTACTATCTCATACTGGGAGCAGATAGGTCATTAGACTGATCTACAGTAATTCTTATGCTGCAAAATTCAGTTTAAATGTGAAGTACTGTTATTTTCCAAATATCTCTAGAAACCTAATCTATAAATCCGTTCCTGATGCTCTTCAATTGTAATTTTAAGTAATCTCTGGCATTTATTCTTTTCCTTAGATGACAATACAAGCAATCCATACCAACCTGTTGTTCATATATCATTTCTTCCTGGCAGGTTGTTTACATTCAATGAATTCCACCTCCTGAAAACAACTCTTTGTTGGACCTACCTACAGCTAAACCCAAGGGTTCAGATAATACCATCTCATGAAACAATCCTAATGTACTTTAGCAGGTAACAGAGTGAATATCTGAGTAAAACGAAGTCCTTTCAATCAACATTATGGTGGAACACAAACATTACTTTGTAATATAACTTCCTGTGCCTCCTGGAATTAGTCCTTAAATAAGAATCCATTGCAGAATGCATATTTTCAATTAATCTTTAAATGTTGGGGCAAAAAATGATAGAACTTTGTTTCTCATATGGTAATTATAGTACATACATGCAGTTTACTTGGCATAGTATCACAAACATGGTACTGTACTAGTCTTGTACAGGCAAATTATCTCAAGATCCAAAATTAATTACAATGTAACTTAAATCATATTTGGGGTGCTATAAAAGTAATAAATGCTACAATAGTAATAATTCTAAATAATAATATTTAGAAAACAGAAGCAGTGTAATTATGAACATGCATTGGAATGTAATTGGCACTCTAAATGTTCTTTAAATACATCCTACTCATAATGAAGTATAATAGTCTGCAGTTAGTATTAAAGAATGAACTGCCACACATTAACATTTTGTTCCTCGTACCCAGGCTTTTATGTTCTTTGCCATCAGAACTCAATTGTAATAAACCCTGATGTTACACTTACTTACAGGCTGTAAACATACATAACTAAACCGGTTGAAATCAATCTGTCAGTGGCACTGCTGCTAGAAGCTAAATTGGAACTCTGTTTATTTCCACCATTGTGGTTTGCTGAATTGGTGTTTTGACTGAATATCATTAATGGATCTAGATTCACCCCTGCTGGTGTTAGGGGCTAGCAGGAGTAGCTGTGCCCTCCCTTGAAAGACTGACTTTCAAGGGAGGGCAGGCAGCATGTAGTATAATTATTAGCATTTTTCATGTAGAGATCTCAAAGCACTTTATAGAAGGGTAAGTAGCATTATTCCCATTTTATAAATGAGAAAACTGATACAGGGGGAGATTTCCCTGTGGTCACACAAGCCATGGATAGCAACAGAGATATACTTATCTCCTGATTCCCCATTCTGTGTCCTATCCAGTAGATCTCTTCGCCACACACTTCTTCTGTTGGGAGGGTTTGATGATGTGTACCAACCCCACACAGGGCCTGAAGAGGTTAAGGGGAACCTGTGGTCACAATCAGTTTCTCCCCGCTGCACCTGCAGTAGGTGTCAAGTTTGGAGGGAGGAGTTAAGAAGGCTGAGCCTGGCTCCACTGGGCCCTTACCAGGGAGGAGAGCAGGTGCCTGGCTCTCACTCAGTGAGAGAAGGCTGGCCAGAGTCACGGAGCTGAGCTGAACTAAGGGCAGATAGAGGATCCCTGAAGGAAGGTAAGTCTGAAACGGAGAGCTTAAGGCAGTTGGGGAAAAAAACAGGGAAGAAGTGAGTCTGCCTAGGACTTTGCCTGCTGGTGGAGAGGACTGCAGGGAGCAGGAAGATTCCTACTGAGTCAGGCAGTGCATGAGAGGGATTTGGAGAAAACTCTCCTCCAGCAGAACCAGCTGGATAGCAGAACCGGCTAAGAAGCCCTGAAGTGAGCTGGTGGAAAAGGAATAGAGAGAGCAGAGTTGATAGACTGTGAGCCGGGTAAGAGACCGAGGCAAAGGTCCAAGACAGGGCAAGGTAGGAAGTGGTCTGGGAAGGCCTCCTGAATTCTGAACTGGGCTCCTTGCTCTGGCCTGTGTTGGCCCTCAAGAGGCCATTAGCTGGAGCACAGTGTGTTCTAGCTACATGTCCCTTCCTCTCCTATCTCCTGGGCCACCTTTGATATGCCTCCTGCATCAAAAACTCCATGGGGGTCTGGTATAGAGCCATTATGTCAATTCAGTGCTGGGTGGTGAACCCCTCTAGGACAGGAGGATTCTGTGAGGGCCACAAGCATAGGGCAGAACCTGACCATTTTTCCTTAGTTTGCTTGTGTTCTTGTTTAAAACCAGTGTACTTAAGGATTCTTTTTTAAGATGAACCTCATGAGACATTATTTCCTATGAGTCATGAACACCATAAAGTAATTACTCTTTGGCTCAGAGTTGTATTCCCATGCCTGGAATCAACATTTTTGCAGTGAGAGATAGGAAATGAGCTGAAATTGTGGATGATTTCATTATTTACTAGTTTGACCTGAGATGTGTTTGTGTAGAAATTAGTGGGTAATGCATGATTAAAGTGACTCAAGGTGCTAAATCTGAAGTTTTTAATAAGCTGAGAGTTTTCTGTGTTATGTCACATACATTAATATATACATATGTTTTACTTTGAGCATAATTTTACATTTTATCAGGCCTATTTATTCGATTAATTTCATGCTCAAACTGTATTCTGAGTGGATTTAAATGTATATTTTGAATTTAAATCACTGTCTCATCATAGCATTCTTTATGCATTTGGATTTTTATGCTATGATCTGACATAGCATATTGATATCTGACATTTTGAGAGAGAACATGATGTATTTATTGTAGTTTTAACATCAAATAATGCACATACAATAGTACTGGCACTAAGGGCTGTCAGAGTCAGGTTCTAATAAAAAAAACAAGTTCCAGATCGCAGGAAGATCAAATGTGGGCAGACTTTGCAACCAAACCCTGATGCAACAACAGGAGTCAAAAACCTAGAAGCAACAAGGAGACTTATATCACAAGACAGTGGAAAAATATGCACGGGCCAAAAAAAAAAAAAAGGCTAAGAATAGCAGACGAGAAGAACAATATGTAAAACCTTTCACATTAGCCATGGTTTTTAGGGGGTATTTACTGTAGTAATTGGAAGGTGCTTTATTATAGTTTCCATTGATAGTGGTAGGTACAGATATTCTAGACATTGTTACGCACATATTTATATAGGTCCCAGTTCACCACATCCTATGTAAATATAAACTTCCACTGAAGTCAGTGGGACTCTATGAAGTTATGATGTGCATCTCTTTACAGGATCAGCATTATAGTTTCCACAACTGTTCCCCATATGTTCAGGGCAGCCCGGGTTAGGCTGGGACCTGATATATAAAACTGACCCACCCACCCCCATTTTGCACCCACAAATAACTGCAAAATCACGAGCAGAGTTGATTGCAAGAAAAAATGATGTCTCTCAGATGTCTCCTGATATGTATTCAGATCAGGAGGTACTTATCCAACTACTATCATTTACTCCCGCAATTAATTTCATCCATGAATTTCTACCCTTAATTAGATACAAGTGCAAAATGGAATGCTGGTTTTAAAATCAGGCCCATGTTCGACATGTATTATTGTGACAGTACTATGCTAGCTGTAGCACCCCGGGCACTCAAGTTGCTGCAGCACAGAGAAGGCTGCAGACTTAATTGAAGCCAATCAATTGTTTCTAGTGGTAACTTGGTGGTAACTGCTGGGCTAATGAGACAATTAGCTCAGTAAAGGGGAGCGTATGGCCTTGTCTACACTAATGCTGTACGACGATGTAAGTTACGCTTGTTATGTTACGTAAATTTAAAGTGATTTAAAGTGGTGTCTACACCGCGCTATGTGGATGGGAGACGCTCTCCCATTGACTTAGCTTCTGCCTCTCCTTGAGGTGGATTAATTAAGTTGACAGGAGAGTGCTCTCCCATTGACTTATCACGTCTTCACCAGACCTGCTAAATGGATGCCACTGCAGTGGCACCGATTTAGTCCACAGTGAAGATTAGCCCTATGTAATTGGGAGGAATAGGAAGGAAGGAGAAGCTCAGAGGGTTAGCTTGGGTGGAGGAGAGAAGATGTATGGAAGGCTCCTGCTGCTGTATACCTGTGCTACGTCCTGTCCAGTTGGGAAACAGAGGATTAAAGGTGCATGTAGTAGAAAAGAAACAGAAGGTGTGTTCGTGTGACTGAGACCACAAAAACAGGCGAGGCAGCACTGCTCACTGGACAGTTGAAGAAGAGCCTTAACAATGATCAAAACAAAATTTAAACATCATATTGAATATTCCTGTCTCCATATATTAAAGCATCTTTGGCTTGAAGAGCTAGCACTGAATCTAGAGTAAATCAGTGTACCTCCATTGACTTATATGCTGCTACACCAGCTAAGGATCTATCCCCATGTGTTCAATCTATGGGTACAGTGAGCACCACAACAGGTACAGTAGGGGAAACAACACAGTGGATAAAACTAAGAGCCTTGTGCCAATCTCATTTACTGTCGTATAAATCAGGAGTAACTCCATAGATAGAACCAATGGATCATACTTTGTATTTATGCCAGTGAAAGTGAGATCAGAATCCAATCCTGAATGTGTTGTCTACACCACTTGAAAGTCATTTTCTAAAATGAGATGTTGACATTTTATTCTATTATGAAACAGATGCTTCCGGCAAATTTGTTTGGATAGAACTCGCTCTAGCACTTTAGCCAATAAAAACAAATTAGAAAATGATGGATAGCTTTTTAAATCCTTCAGATTTATTAATTTTGAACTAGAATAAGTGTAGACAGCTCTTAACCTGTGCAAGGACTCCTTGCCAGATGTTTAGGAAAAAGCCAGTGATTTTATTAATTACTGCAGGATGCATGACACATCTGAGCCCAAAAAGTCTCTCTCATGGCAGCAGTCACTTCGGGGCGGGGGGTAAGGAGGGAAAGAGAGGAGTCAATTTCCCAGAATTAAATGACATGCAACAGTGGTTTGGGGTGTTTTTACATACAAAAAAGGAAAAACTAAAATTGTCATTAAAAAATGCTTCCTCTTGAGGAAAGGAAAATTTGAACAATGTTTTTATCCCAGTCATCCTATAAGTTCAAAAGATTAAAAAATACTTCCCATCATAAACTGGGTTTGAAGATATATATATATTTTTTAAATTACAGTTGGAATTTCTGATTCAGTCCTCTGAGGCCACGCTGGTAATTGCAAGCTTTGTTTTCAAGAGAAGGGTAGAGGATTTATCTTTGCTATGCTATTGCGCACATAGACAAGGAAGGAAGAGGATACACAACATAGGGCAGGATTTAGCAATATATATCTGTTGTTGCTAGGTCTCACAACTTTATTGTACATCTCACAATAT